CCCCAGGGTCCAAGCAGATCTCAAGGTCCTGCAGGTAAATGATGCTCTGAAAACACCACTGGGTAAGAGTCCATAGAGCTGAGTGCTGGTCTAACCTCGGGCAAGTCCATTTCCCCATCTGGAAAGTGGGGAGAGGGTGGAACTGGGTGGCTTCTGAGCTCCCTCCCCATTTGGATGCCCCTTCGAGGCAGAATATTGGTGGGAGGCTGAATTCTGAGCCAGACAGACCCTAGTCTGAATCCCTTCTCTGCCTCCCACTTACAGTGTGATCTTAGGCAAGTTACTGGACCTCTCAGCCTCAGTATTTTCATCTGTGCAATGGTGCTGAGTCCCACTCAGGGAGTAGGGAAAGAATAAAGGGCTATTGTGAGGGTTCAATGCCCGTAACAGCACCTGGCACACAGCAAGTGCCCAATAAACTTTGGCCAGTGTTTTTCTTTATTGTTGTTATTATTTCTGTTGTTGTCACTCCCCACAGATCATTTTTTCTCTATAAAATAAACTTCAACTGCAAGCTTCTGCACTGTAGCCTGTGCTTAGCCAAGATGTCCTGGATGAATAGGACATTCCTGGCCGCCCGAAGACACTTGTGAAGAGGGAAGTAGAGATGCCAACTGCTAGCCCTGGGTTTGACTCACCTCCAGCCTCACCCCCATGGAGGCTGCTTTTGTACATAAATCCTGCCTTCTCCTGGGACACCGACAACCTGGCTGCCTCCCTGTCCTTCGTATCTGTTATTTCTTTGGGTGGGCAGCAACTCTCTTCCCTCTTTACACATTAAACGGATAGTCTTGTTCCTACTTCCATTTCCCAGGTTGGGAAAGGGTGCGGAGAAAGCAGTACCTTCCATTCAGGCGAGGAAGCCAGAGGCCGGTTTAGCACCCAGTTCTCTAACCCTGCTCTTTCCCTGCTTGGGTGTCTCTGGATCACCACACCCAGTTTTTCAAGGCTCTCATCCAGGGCTGATCCACCGCATGAAGGAGGCCTTGGGAAAAGCTCCAATGGTCACATGAGGCCTGGAGGGGGTGGCTGGGACTGAATCGGATCCTTTCTCTGGAGGGTAGGAAGCTGAGATGGCCAGAGAGCAGGATATCATGCCTGACCAAGATGACATCCTGCCACCTGCCCTCGATGCATCAGCTGGAGTAGATGGACTGTGTCCCTAGCCTGACCCTGTGCTGAGCACTTGAAATACAAAGACAGGCGGGATCAGGGTGGGGAGGTGGAAAGACGACTGCTCGGCTCTCAGAGGCAGCTCGGAGCCTATGCGGGGCCCAGTCGGACTGGCTTCAAATCCTGCCCCTGTTATTTACTAGCTGGGTGACCAAACAAGCCACTGCAT